GCTGGTTTAGCATCTCACATTCTAACAGTGCAAAAACATTTCAATTTGGGACTTTAAGGGTCTACTTTATATCTTAGCACTTCCCTTTCAGCCTGGTTCTAAAGAACAACTCCCCCTTCCTCATTCTATTTGTGTGTTTTGGTTTCTTTGTTGTTTGTTGTTGTTTGTCTCTTCTTTTTGTCACATGGCAGTAGTCCTGACCAGAGCATTTGCTCAAGAACGCCGTGATTTGGCTTGTGGAGGTGCAGCCAACAGCAGGGCTGAAGGCGAAGGAGCATGCTGACGTGACTATGGCATTCTGGTATTACTTATCTGCCAGGCAAGAAGTTACCTTGCCAGCTGGCAGATCATTTTAATAGTTAAGCTGACATTAATCAGCCTGGAAATTTTGTTCTCGACTGTCTAATGACACCAATATGACATTGCCAGTGGTTGAGTAACACCTTCAGCAGCAAAGGGGTTAAACTCCATATGTGCAGTGTTTCAAAGTCAAACTGTGCACATACAGACTCTAGGGACCATGACCACGTCAAAGCACTGAAAGGTTCAAGTGTTGGAGCAACCCCTTAAGCTAAAGTTGTTTTGGTGCTTCAATGTCCCTTTAATTTCTCCTTACTAAGCCATTAGTAATTAGGAAGATATTATTATTATTATTATTTGATAATTCAATTATAATTATGAAACAGTACTCTCAACACCAAGATCAGCTGATCCTTAGTTTGCAGTGCACACATAACGTATAATGAAATGAGAATATTCCATTGCAGTTACCTATTTATACTGTACATTTTCTTTTCTGTTCATTAGCTTTGCCACCAGAGTTGCCGTACTCAATATTTTAAACCCTTCAAGATCAATGACACGTCAACAATTTCCACTATAATAAGGTTATTGCCTACCTGAAGATGTTATCTTCACTTTATCACTTACTGAAAAAAAAGACTTTCAATATCGAGTTTATTAACTAAAAAAAAATAAGATATGTGAATATATATATATATATATATATATATATATATATATAGGTTTTTTATACTATACATATTTTTTTTAATATTATGTAATATATATATATGTCAAACACAATGCACAATTTAACCCCTTGGATCATACGGATCCTATCTAAAAAGGTGGAACCAATCCAAAATTTAGGCTGTCTCTCTATGCACAAGAGATACAGCAACCCCAGTCATATGTGAGAAAGCTGGAGCCTGGCCATCATGAGAACTTCCAACAAGACAATGATCCTAAGCATAAATTCCACCAAGGCTTGGTTGCAGAAGAAGTCCTAGAAAATTCTACAGTGGCCATCACAGTCACCTGGCTTGAACCCCATAGAAAATCTCTGGTGGGATTTGAAGAAGGTGATTGCAGCATGCAAACCCAAGAATATTACTGAACTGGAGACCGTTGCTCATGAGCAATGGGCTAAGATTCCTCAGGAACGCAGCCAGAAGCTGGTGTCTGGCTATGCATCTCTTTTGCAGCAGGTCATAACAAAAGAATGCTCTACTAAGTACTAAATATGGTTGCCATGAAGTGGTTGAATAATTTTCAGACTAGCGAAGTCTTTATAAGTTGCATTTTCAGTTGAATTTGGAGAAACCACTTGAAGCATACATAGAAACATAGAAACATAGAATGTGACGGCAGATAAGAACCGTTTGGCCCATGTAGTCTGCCCAATTTTTTAAATAAAATCCAGTTGTGTTGAGCTATTTCAATTGCCTTTGTTTGATCTGCTCATTGCAAACAACTGAAAGTTTGTATATTTTAAACCTGATTTTCAATGAGGGTTGAATAATTTTGATTACAACTGTATGACATCATCAGAAACATGCTTGACTTCGGGCTCTTTGTTCCACTGACACAACTGCACAAAGACTCATAAAATAAACTCAAAAGCATTCATTACAGAAATAAAGCTATTCTACAAAAATGCCTTCAATAATGTACTTGCTGATGCATGGGACATGGTGCGGAAAAAAACACCATTAAACAGTGAATTTTGAGGTTTGCACAAAGGAAAACTCACATTTTATGTTTCCCATTTAAATAACTATGTTAAACACATTTTCAGATTCTAAATACTTTGTTTGGAAAGTAAAACTATTTACATTTTTTTCTAGGAATTTTTTTTTACTAAATTTCTTGTGTTGTTGTGTCTTATATCTTTAGTATCACATATGAGAGAGTGCATTAGAGTGTGAATAGAGGTCTTTTACACCAATATGTATTTACTTCAAAAACAAAGACATCAATTATGTTTACTTATTTTAATCCATTTTTTTTTCAAAAGAAGCCAAACGCATTTGTAGTAAATTGTTTGAAAGAATATGAGCATAAAAGACCATCTGAGAAGAAAAGAGGTCAATTAGTCTTAAAAAAACAAAAAAAAACTGCATAAAGTGTTAGCTTCATCTGCGTGGTGAAATGTGTAATTCTGTTAAATTAAATGAAAATGGTTCAATTCAGAATTGGAGTCAATGGAGTCAAAAATTATTATTTTTTTGTCAGGAGGGAAGATATAACTTAAAAATATATGGCTGCATTTTCTTAACAGAGTGAGGGTTTACTCTGCTTCCTGTTTCCTTAGACTTCCGTAGAGGAAGTGCTACTTAGTAACCAGAACTAACCCTTACTTTGTGAAGTACTTCCAAGTAGAATTTGATTTATTTTAGCCATTCTTTAATGGTGAAAATGGGAGAAATTTTATCACATTACAAAATTGACTTAAATACAATTTAAAATTGAGGAGTACTTAAAGGAACACTATTGTCATCAGTCAACAACTTTAGCTTAATTAAGCAGTTTTGTTGTGTAAATCATGCCCCTGAAGTCTCACTGCTAATTTTTCCGCCATTTAGGAGTTAAATAACTTTGTTTATGCAGCCCTTGTCACACCTACCTGCACATGCTTTACACAGCCTTCCTAAACACTTCCTGTAAAGAGTCATCTAATGTTTATACTTCCTTTATTGCAAATTCTGTTTAATTTAGAATATGTCACTCCTGCTCTGTTAATAGCTTGCTAGAGCGTGCAGCAGCCTCCTGTGTTTAATTAAAGTTTAATTTACTTTTAAAGTAAGTTACAACTGATTGAAAAGTAAAAATTCATGCATGCTGTGGCAGTTACAGACAGGGGAGGTGTGACTAGGGTTTCATAAACAGAAACAAAAATGATTTAACTCCTAAATTACAGTGAACTGAGCAGTGAGACTTCATTAGAGTTCTTTTGGTAACTATAGTGTCCCTTTAAATAGATTACATAGATTTCCTCAGTTTTAATTTTTCATTCATCCTTTAAAGAAATTTAATGGCTCTAAAGTTTATCAGAGATTATGTGGTATATTCCATGTGATATCGCACATAATCTCTAAAACTTTAAAAGGGTTTTATATTTTGTAGTCGTATGCTACCAGTCAGACACTAAAAGTTACTTGCCATTGAAAACCATACCATGTTCTCTCCTGGCGGGACTTCCCACTCACCAAGGCTAAATTTTCACTCTCCACTGTAGTCACATTAAAGTCACATACAGTAGATGTAAGAAAAAAACAGATTATTAAAAGCTAAAATTAAAATGTAGAGGGCCACAATGGCCACAAAGTGTTTATCTGCATAAACTGTGCTGGATCAAAGAGAAAACAATTTAATTTTGTATTTCTTTGCAATGAAAAGCTAAACCTAGCACGTATACACTAACTTAAAAAAAAAGTTTTAAAGGGTTGAAGTGATAATAATTTTACGATTCAGAGTTCAAGTCAAAGAACGAGGAAGAGGTCATTTGGGGACATCTTGGGGGCAGTGGTGCTGTGGAGATTGGGATATATAGCATGTAAAAAAAAAAACATTATTCACCTCAATATCCCTGATAAAATCTGGATAAATATGGACCTTTAGACATTACTCATAATGCCCAGCTGAAATGCAGTTTTATATTCTTCTGTTCTTCTGTCACAACCTTTTAATACAATCTCTTATCCATCATTATCCTAAAACATTATTTTATATGATAAACACATTCTATTGACTCACATAACTTGTTTATGTTTATTTAACACATAAATGGGGAATACAGTCTGGATAAATTACAGAGGTAAATCTGCCTAAATTTGTAGGTTGGTAGACCTTATTTAATGCAGTTGTAAGGAACATTGTCATCGTACATGTGCCTTCCTCTTATATTTGGAGCTTGATTAATGCTTGAACTATGTCTACCAGCTGGTAGGCTTTATAATATAAAAATTACCATTTTACATACATGCTAATTAACTTTAGACTTTTTCTCAAGAACCTTTGGTGTCTGTTTTCAAACAATTGCGTGCATGGCCAATAGGTTAATTATTATTTTTCTTGAAAGACACGAAGAAGGAATGCACTTTGACTGCTTAAATAAATGAGCTAAATTGCCGATCACTCTTGTGAAAATCACCTATCGTTCATTTTATCAAGCACATAGAGCCATTTCTACATGACTTCTTATGAGCAGTTTTTACATGACTTCTTATGAGCAGTTTTATGTTTTCTTAACAAATCATCTTGCAGATGACATGCTTTGATATTAAGTAATTTCACCCTGTAAACCTTCACGTCCACTGTTGTAATGGGACATTAAATCACAGTATTAGAATTTTGAAACGTGTTAATAGCATAGTTATTAGCATGCTGAACAACAAACATTCTCTAACAACAATTTAACAGTTCTGCTAATTTGTAATTTGGCCAGAATTACATTTTACATTTCCAAATTTCCTAGTTTTAAATTCCATAGTTAATTCACATAAAAGAAAATACATTAATGGGATATTTCAATCTTAAATGCATAATGCATATTATAGCGCAACTTAAAATGTGCACCCTACAAAAGTATTTTGTTCTGATGTGCACTAGACTTGTGCACGGTGACAATTTTCAGTTCTACCTCACATAAGACAGTGACTAGTCCAGAGTCCATGCAGCCCGTGCTACAACAGTCATATAGACAAAAAATTGAGTTCTGTGCATCAAGTAGGTAGTGCACACCCAGGTGCTACTGCAGTTTATTGTCCTCTAATAAACTGCAGTAGCACCTGGGTGTGCACTACCTACTTGATGCACAGAACTCCATTTTTTGTCTACCTGCTTGTTACACTGTTGGAACTACAGTAAGATTACAGCTCGGATTTAACTGTTCATTACCGTGTTCTTTATCTTTGATAATCCGTGGGCATCACTGATGCCTCTGCCTCATCTTATGCACAGTGATTTAAAAGGATACGGAATCAGGTGAAATTCTGCTGAATTTCGATTTTGACTGATCTGAATCTTCAAGTCTAGAAATCATTATCAGAGGTATTCACTAAAGTGTGAATTCAGTGTGATTTAAGGTTAAAATAGCCAAACCCGGAAAAATTCTCTAATTCAGTTCTGCTACTTTGGCCTTAATTTTGAAATTCACTTTGCATTAATTTTGAATTGTTACTTTGATTAGTAGGCCTGTATATTTCACTATATTCTGTCTGTGTCTTTAGAAACAGATCTTTTTTTAATGAATGTTAAAGCAATGCATTCTCTGTGTATATAGAGAGAGAAATAGACAGAGAGAAGGGTGATTTAGTAATTTCCATAAAAAACCTGCACAGATCATAAAGTGAATTATGCAGAAAACAAGTCTATAATATTTAATAACATAGCTCATGTTATGGCCTTCTCATTACCAGGGTTTTATTTTATTTTCTCAAAGTAAATGTGATAACAGCAAAAAAGCTAGAAAGTGATTGGAAGATGCTTAGAGTTTATTTATTGTTAGTTAATTATAACAAAACATTGCTAAAAATAAAACAGTACACACCTCGTATCCGTGACACCCTGCCATTAAGCAGAGAGAGGCGAACAGCATTATTTTTAAAACAAGATGATCTCTGGATCTACACATTATTCAGGAGGATCTTGGGAAATAAATCACCTTTTCCTCCACTCCATGTCAGGGGGGTGGAGGCAAGGGTATATGAGGTAGTGGTCAATGAATAGCCATAGCACTTTGTCCCGCCTGCATGTACTGGAATAGAGGGAACAATGTACCCAGTAGAGCCCCATTGAAAGCCCCTTATCCCTTCTCCAACATGTGTTATGTGGGGCAAAGCCAAGCAATCACAATGCAAATCCCCAGGTAGGTCTTACTCTTGTGAGAATTGCCTGTTGTTGATATTTTACAGACTCCGGTAGTCATTGTTTTATTTTTTTTCAGGGTGGTCAGAAAGTAATTAAGTTGTTTGATTATACAACATTTCCTTTCTGTTACAGTTTGACACACAGATACAAAAACACACACACACCTGGCACACAGATACACACACTGAAATATACACCCCCTGACACACAGATACATACACACACCCTGACACACAGTTACAAACACACACAGTTGACACACAGATGCACACACTGACATATACACCCCCAATACACAGATGCACACCCTGACACACAGATACAAACACACACATACACAAACCTTGACATAGATACACACCTTGACACATACACACATACATGTCATAATTTTTTTAAATGCTACATTATTTATTATTTTATCTTATATATTTGCAGCCAACCTCCTCTTTCTACAATACTTAGTGTTGCTAGTTATTGACTTACTACCAGTGGTCCATCATCTGAGTTTCATTCTCAACATCTGATAAGGAAGCGTCTTGCTGGATGATATATGTTGGGTCATCACGCAATTTTTTTTATGCTTTGGCTTGATATTTAACTAAAAAAAACAAAACCATAATTTATGTTTACATTAGCAAATAACAAAAATACCCTCGAAAAAGTACTGTTATCTACCTATGCATGCTTGTGTTTTTGAATATGAGACTAGAAAGAGGACATTTTTTTTTTGTTTAAGTCTCTGAGCATAATGAGAAATTAAGTCCGCAGGTGTTAAGGATGTCAATATTACCTGTTACTGGTTTGGGTTATATATTATGGGTTTGTTATATAAATATGCTTATTGATATTAATGTTCATTATTTGCACCATGCATGCTTATGAAAATCCTGGAAATAACATCTCTAAAAAATACTATTTTCCTTGTATGCTATAAACTTTTTCATGGATTTTTTGATATCTTATTATGGAACACTTTAAGATGTCCCATTGCACATATAATTCTAAGTAGCTCTAATGGGGTCAGGCAAGCCTCCAGCAATATTTAATGGAGGAATCATTTAAATACGCCGGAGAATTTTCTTAATTAATGTCTGCTTCTGTTTGTCTTCCACAGACGTATTTAACAGGAAGGAATGTATTTTTTTGATGTTGTAATTGTACTTGCCATCACAATCCAGGAGTATGGGACACAGAAATTAAAGTTAGGATTTGCTGTACAAATTTTTACATCCATACATCTTTAGTCTAAATTTTTGATTTTACTGCTAAACACTCATGAGAGGATTTTTACTCTGTAGACTTGTTGTGGATGCAGGACTAAGTGGTTTTGGGATGGGAAAAGCAGTTTACACTTTGTAATCAGGGGTCACCAAAAAGAATTGCCCTATATGCTTTAGAACAACAAATCTAATGCTGCATTGCCAGACCTGTGTGGCAAGACATTATTGTAATTTAAAATTTAAAACATCTGGTGATCTAACTTTTAGTCATCCCTGTTGTACATAGTTCTCTTCTAGAGTAGAGAATAGATTTGGAGATTCATGGTCATTCGAATTCTCAAATTCTGAGAAGAAATGTAGCCAATTTACACACCAAATGAAACACAAATTGGCCGAATATGTTCTGTGGTATCTTGCACCAAGACATTAGTAGGAGATCCTTTAAGTCCAGCAAGTTGTTAGGTGGGGCCTTCATGGATCGGATTTGTTATTCCAGCACAGCCCATAGATGGTCAATTGGGTTGAAATGTGGGGAATTTATAGACCATGGCAACACCTTGAACTCTTTCTCATGTTCCTTAAACCATTGCTGAACAATTTTGCAGTATGACAGTGTGCATTATCCTGCAGAAAGAGGCAAGAGGGGTATACTTGGTCTGCAACAATCTCTAGGTAGGTGGTATGTGTCAAGTAACATCCACATAAATGCCAGAAAGCTTCCCAGCAGAACATTTCTCAGAGCACAACACTGCCTTCTTCCCATAGTGAATCCAGCTGCCATCTCTTCTCCAGGTAAACAATGCACACGCACCCAGCCATCCACCTGATCTAAAAAAGAAGATGATTTATCATACCAGGCAATTTTCTTCCATTGCTTCATGGTCCAGTTCTGATGCTCACATGCCCATTGAAGGCACTTTCGGCAGTGGACAGGGGTCATCACGGGCACTCTCATCACTCTGCAGCAAACTGCAAAACACTGTGCATTCAGACACCTTTTTATCTTGGCCAGCAATACATTTTTCAGAAATTTGAGCTACAGTAGCTCTTCTGTGTGATCAGCCCAGACAGGCTAGCCTTCGCTCCCGGCATACATCAATGTCCATGACTCTGATGTCAATTCACCGGTTGTCCTTCCTTGCACCACTTTTGGCAGGTACTAATCACTGCATACCGGGAAGATCCCACAAGATTTGGCATTTTGCAGACTCTGTGACCCAGTCATCTAGTCATCACTATTTGGCTCTAGTCAAAGTCATTCAGATCTTTTTCCTTGCGCCCATTTTTGTAATGACTATATAATCACCTGTCAGTGGTTTTAATGTTGTGGCTGATTAGTGTAAATTTCTGTACAATGATTGGCCATATTTGTGCCTTTTGGTGTGTCTGATTTATTTTCCTGAATCTTTTTTCTTTAACATAATTCAGCCTATCCAAACTGCCATTAAGCCGAAATTTGTTCAACCCAAAAAAATATGAAAATGTATTGAGTTTTCTGGATTTTTTTTCATGTTCCTTTAACAATTCTATATTATTAGCCACTTGTATTGTTTTGCTCCCTATAGAGACGCCACTTTTTTAGAGGTGCCAAATGTTTTTGCACATTTGGCAATATGTAAAGGCAAATTAGGATCAATGTGACCCAAACTCCCCTTGCAAAACATGATTTTCCTCTGATGCACGGTTACTGGGTTTCATTAACAAAATACAAAAAAAGTCTAGTAGGTATCTCAATGATTATGAAGAATTTAAAATGCGTAATGGGGTCATTGTAGCCTGAAGCTACCTATAATGGAAGAATAATTCCTCCCAGGAGAATTTCATTAATTAATGTCTACTTCTGTTTGTAGGCTATGTGGCCTTAACTACAATAGATGATTCTTATACAGGGAATATGAAATCATTAGCAGCTTACCAAAATGTTCAACTAGTATGAATACCTAGTTAAATAATATAAATGTAATACTCTGTTGTTCAGTTTAACTCACATTGATTGCCAAACTTGGTTTAACTGATATAAATAAATTGATTTTCTCACCCCTCCTGGGTCGTATGTTTATTCCTCATTCTCAGGTTCTCTACCAGAGGCCTGTGAGTTTGAGATTTCTGCGCAGTATCTTAGCTGTTCCTAGAGCACTCTTCTGGACAGTAATCTCAGATGTCCCACCTGGAATCTGTTGAAGCCACTCCCCCAGCTTGGAAGTCACAGCCACGAGTGCTCCTATCACAACTGGGATTACTACTGCTTTCACTTTCCACATCCTTTCTAGTTATTCTTTCAGTCCTTGGTATTTGTCTACCTTCTCATATTCCTTCTTCCTGATGTTATAGTCACTGGGTATTGCCACATCCACCACGACTGTGGTCTTTTGTTCCTTGTTTACCACCATGATGTCTGATTAGTTGGCCAGCACTTGCTTGTCTGTCTGGATCTTGAAGTCCCACATGATCTTAGCCCTGTCATTCTCAACTACCCTTTGTGGTATCTCCCATCTTGACTTAGGCAGGTCCAATCCATATTCTGTGCAGATGTTTCGGTACACAATCCCAGCAACTTGTTTGTGTCCCTCCATGCTAACATTTGCACAGTCAGCATTTTGGGTCTTGCCTGGTGTGGTAGACTCCAGCTTCTATTGATCTGGTCCTGAGTGCCTGTTCCTGTGCTACTAGGATTAGTGTCTCAGTGCTGTCTTTCAGCCCTGCCTTTTCCAACCACTGG